TATCTGCAAGTTCGTTGCCTGTAATACCAATATGGGATGGTAGCCAGATCAATGTAACTGTTATTTTTTGGGAAGCGATTAGTTGGTAACAATCAAGGATCTTTTGGACAATAGTTGAATTGTAATGAGGCTAGCGAGTCTGTGCGTATTGCCACTTGTTTATTTGGAGAAGAAATGGATTTGAGAGCTTGAAATATGCTAAATAGTTCGCCAGTATGAACGCTACAGAACGAGGGGATACAAGATGATGTGATAAAGTTATTTGACGTGGTAACAGAACAACCTACTCCTGTATCATTCTTTGAGGCGTCAGTGTAGAGTACTGTGTCGTATTTGTTTGTAAATATAATTTCTTTAAAATATTTTTTAATGAGTTCCCTGGGTGTTGTAAGTTTATCGAATCATGATTGTAGACCAAGGAGGATATAGAGGTAGGGGTCGTGGGATTGTTTCTGATAGAGAGATGGTATTAAGTAATTGTGTTAGAATTAGTGGCAAGGGTTTTATTGATGGTGATTTAGAATAGTAATGCTGGTTGTTCGTTAATGAAGTAAGAAGAGGATAAACGGATTGGAGGTATTGGATGAAACGGAGGCAGCATAGGAAAGTAATAATTGTTCACGTCTAATCCAAAGTGGGTGCTCATTGGCTTCGCAATATAGACTTTCTACGGGACTAGATCGAAAGGCTCCTAAACAAATTCGTAAGGCTGTATGATGTATCGAATTTAAAAGGTTAAGGTGTGTTTTAGAGGCAGACATATATATGTAACAACCATAATCCAGTTTGGAGCGGATGATAGACCTATATATCTTAAGCAGGGAGTTCTCATCTGCACCACAATGGTAGTTTGAAAGAGTTTTAATAATGTTGAGCCTCTTGTTTGCTTCACCTTCTATTTCTAGTATATGTTGTTTCCAGGTGAGTCTTGAATCAAACGTTACACCGAGAATTTTGCATTCCCTGACTACCGGAAGATTTGCTCTCTCAATCATAATATTAGGGGATAGGAAGGGTGATAGTCTACTAAATTTTATTATTTTTGATTTTGTATGTGATACAGACAGACCTATGGAGCTTGTTTTTTTAACTAGTGTATCTACTGCGGATTAAATAAGCTTAGAAGTTGTAGAGATAGATCGTCCGTGGCAGTAAATTATCAGGTCATTTACGTATAGAACATGCCTAATGGGAGATATTATATCAGAACACAAGTCGCTTATTGCTAGGTTAAACAGAGTTGGGATTAATATTGAACCTTGTTGTACGCCGTCAGTTTGATGGTGAAGTGATTAAAAAATGCCATTAACAGAGACTCTAAATGTTCGTGAAGTTAAGAAATTTTGTATAAAATTAAAAATATTACCCTTTATGTTATAATGAGAAAGTTTCTTCAGTATAGATTGCCTGCTAATTGTATCAAAAGCACCTTCAATATTAAACACCGCTGCAATGACTTCTTGTCTCTTATTGAAGGCATCGGAAATATGGCTTTGGAGAAGTACAAGATTGTCTTGAGTAGAGCGATTTCGTCGAAACCCTGACTGTTCTTTTGTAATTATAATATATTTGTTGAAAAACCACGTAAGACGTTTGTTGATCATTTTTTCAAAGATTTTGCAGATGGTACATGTTAGAGATATTGGTCGATAAGCGCTGGGTGATGAGCGTGATATGTTAGGCTTTTTAATAGGTATTATAATTGAGGTTTGCCACTGTTTAGGGAACTTGTTAGATGACCAGATTAAGTTAAGCATTTCAAGAAGCTTAAGCTGACCTAAGCTAGATAGTTTTTTTTATAAAAATGTAAGGAATATCGTCGGGGCCGGAAGCAGTGTTCTTAAGAGTTTTAATAACCGATGTAAGTTCTATGTAAGAGAATTGGGAATTTAAGTAATCGATATCTTTGACAGTTGTCGAAGAACTTGGAAAAGGGACATCGGTTATTGGCTCGAATTGAGAGCATTTTATTCTGCTTTTAAATTTTTTTGTCGAAGTGACTGACTAAGGTCTCACCAATTTCTTGACTGTCACTTATTACATTATCATTCAAAATTAGACTAGATTTTTAGTATTTGTATTGATTCCTTGAATTTGTCTTATTTTTTTCCAAAGAATAGTAGGACTGGTGTTTTCATTGATAGAAGATACGTAGTTTCTCCATGACGATTTTTTACTTTGTTTTATAGTAAACCTCGGCCTAGCTCTAGCTTTTTTTAATTCTGTGAGATTTTCTGGTGTTTTGTTTTTCCGATAATCTCTAAGTGCCACCTTATTTTGTTCTACGGAGATTTTGCAGGAATTATTCCACCAAGGAACCCTTTTATGTTTGTGTGAAATAGAATTTTTGCCAATATGCAAATTGGCAGCTAAGAGAATCGTGTTTGTGACTAATGATAAATTGTAGTCAATATTATTGGATAGTGTGAGAAAAGGTAAGGTGGTATCTGTTTTAGCAGTGTAGCTTAGCCAGTCAGCATTTTTGAGTTGCCAGTAGCTTCTTGATATAGTTTGTATAGAGTTGGAGATATCAGTTGATATAAATATAGGGTAATGATTGCTATTGTAAAGATCCTCAGCGACTTTCCAATTCAGTAAAGGTGCAGATTTTGGATCACTAAAGCTAAGATCTATAGAAGAAAATGTGCCAGAGGAGAAATTCAAGTGTGTACTAGAGCCTGTATTTAGAAGACAGGAATTTGTACAATTAATTACGTTTTCAACAGTTTTACCTTTGTTTGATGTGCTATTGGAACCCCACATAGGGTTGTGAGCGTTGAAATCGCCAACAAGAATGTATGGAGAGGGGAGCTGGTAAATGAGGTTTAGAAGTTCTATTTCCTTTAGAGAGTGATTGGGTGGAATGTATACGCTACAAATAGTAATCTTATTAGGACATCAAGTGGTTATGGCGATAGCCATAGTTCAGTGGTGAGAGGAAGCTGCGAAGAAAATAGTTCATTGGAAACAAAAATTGAAGTTCCACCACTGGCTCTGTTGCAGTCAGTTCGAATATAATGATATCCTTCAAAATTCTTTAGTTTAGGAAGTTTTGTAATTTTTGAGTTGGTTTCTTGTAAACATATGATTTCAGGTTGTTCCTCGATAGCTAATTGCTGGATTCTTTCTATGGGAGGAAAAAAACCATCGCAATTCCATTGAATTATTTTGAATGTAATGTTTAAGTGAGATAAGTGTGGGACTACTGTAAGGATTGTTGAGAGCGTTGAGAAATAGGAGCGTTAAATTCATCATCAGTTAGGTAATTGGATGATGCACTCAAATTGTCAGAGTCTTCAGGATTAAGCTGTTTTTTAATTTTTTTTTTGCAATCTTGTTATTCGGTTTTTAAAGGACTCTCTTTTGTTTGTGAATGAAGAAGAGACAAATCATTAAGCAATCCTTGGATATTGGAAGTGAAATTAAAAGCTTCTGTAAGTGGGTCTGGTATGCCAGAGGTAGTTTCTAGGAAAGCTATAAATTGGTTTTCAGTAAGAGTTAGTTCGGATAAGTTATTTTTATAGATAGCGTGGACTGCATTATAAGAAATGGGTGTCAATTTATGTTCTTCTGTTACTATTGTTTTACTTTTTTTCTTTTGCGGCTTGCTGTCAGAATTAATGGTAGATTTTACAGATAAGGGGGAGGCATTTGATTGATAGTTGGGTCTGGAGTAGGAGCTGGAGAAAGTTGAGAAGGAGTGCCAGCATTATTGTCACTGGATATAGCCCGTTTCTGTCTCTGTACTGGAGGGTATGCTACCTGTGTAACTAAGGGGATGCTTTCTGCCAGATTATTCGTAGTTTCAGAGTAAGATGTGGATGGTGGATTGATTTGATTGGGAATGCATGCTGGTATCGTTGTATTTGAGGGTATGGATACGGAGGTAGTGGGAGAGGGAAGTTCGGATCGGGCTACAGAAATTGGTTTATTGGTACAAGTTTCCGCAGTATGACCACCTTGTTTACATAAAAAACATTCTAATTTGTCAGTAGTCACAAATATTCTATATGGAGTGTTGTCGTGAGTTAATAAAAGAGAGGTCTGGACTGAGAAGTTTTCTTTATCCGGAATAACGTATGACACTCTTCGGAAGCTCATTATATGTGCCTATGCATCACCTAGCGAACCACATTTCACGAATTATACAGGAGAGACTATCTGTAAACCGATACTTTTTAAAGCTTCTTCGATAGTGCTGTGAGGTATCGTGGGAGATACATTTGATATGAGAATACGCTTTGCAGGTGTTATAAGTCTACGGATAGGAACAATTGTTGAGTTAATAGTGACACTTTGGTGGGCACTGAGAAGATCATCGATTAGTTTAACAGAGTTTAAATAAATACAAATACGGTTATTGGAGATTCGAGACGCAAAGATGATGTTTTTAGGGGTAACGATGTCTTCTAGCTTTTATGTACTCAAATAGAACGACATTAGGAAGAGCATGTAAGATAATAGCTTGATTTTTATGAGGAAACGTAGGAGGTGGAGGTTTAGATAATGTGGCAGCAACATAAGACTTAGTATTATTGATTGTGTTATTTTGTGAGGTAATTTGATTGGTAATTGAGGTCATTTTAGTGAGCGGTTCTGGATACCAAAACCACTACACATAAATTTTTATTATTTATGCAACAGACGTCCTAGAGGGACTCTGTGGATAAAAGAATTAAAAATAACAGATTACCTGAATTTTGTAACGCCACTGCAAAGTCAAATTTACCAATGCACTTTTGAACTATTAACGCTAAATTATTGTTTCGGTTAAATTGTCACTTATCGCTTTGTATTTAAACAAATAACGAAATAACGATGTCCATTGATAAGAAAACAATAACAAGAAAAACTTACACGTTTTTACTGATAACAACTATCGTTACTAGGATCGCCTGAGTTAATACGACTTTACTCGTCGGCTGCTTAATTTGGAATGTAAATCTTTATTTAAAAAACAGTTAATTTTTATATTTCATGGTTCCCAATAACAAGATATCATGCAATCCATTCTATGTCCATCAGACTACCAAGTGACTACTCCCGACTCAACACTTGGAGATGTTTCATCTGATGATGACGTCATGGATCGAACTTGGATCCCTAATTCTGTACAAGATGCTGGTCAGTTGTCATCTTCATCTGATGATTCTACATATGCTAGAAATACAGTAACTTCTTCGGTGACGGCAGAAACGCTAGGTAATGTTAGGGTTAAAAGAAAGTGTGGTATTGGCATAATGCAGAGAAAACTACGTAAGGAAAGATCTGAAAAAATTGGAAAGGGAGAAGAATATACAAACCAATCTGGAAAGAAAATATTAAGTAAGCCCCTAGGTGTACTACAAGAATGCAGATTAGAATGTTAAACTAAATTTACGGATGAACAATTAGGAAGTACTTTTACCGACTATCGTTCACTACAAACACGGGATATGCAACGTCTACATCTCAGTCATCACATATTATTATCAAAACCAGTTAGAGTTAAAATTGAAAATGCAATACAGAAAAGAGATATATCTGTACAGTATGGCATAGAAATTGACGGAAGACGAGAGAATGTATGTCAACAATGTTTTCGTATAGTTGGAATTAGGATAATTGGAAGAGACGAAAAAGGCAGACATGAACCAAAAATTAAACATTCAACTGCAGCAGTAGCTTATGTTCATATTCACATTACCAGTTTCCCAGCATATGAAAGTCATTATTCCAGAAGTCACACAACAAAGCAATACCTGGAGACTGGCTTAAATTTACAAAAAATGCTTTATAAAAAAAATCGCTTGCACGAAGAACATGTCTCTCAACAACAAAAAGCAAAGGTTCATTATGAATGTAAATCATTAGACAAACAGCATGCAAAATCTTTAAACAACACGACCGTTGTAGCAGTTTGCGATTTACAACAATGCCTAGCAACACCATTTTTAAATACACGTGTAGCATTTTTCAAACGAAAATTATGGACTTAATTTTACTGTAAGAAATTGTAATATGAGCAAAACTTCCAGCTATATGTGGCACGAAGCTACGCTCAACCTGGCGCAGATGAAATCGGGTCATGTCTAAAAATGTTTATTATGAGCCTACCTGAAGTAACAGAACATGTTATAATATACTCCAATACTTGTGCAGGACAGACTCGCAATAACACACTACCTGCAGTATATAACTACATACTTACACAGAAACAAGGATTAAAAACTATTGATAATAAATTTCTAGCTCCTGGGCACACGCATTTGGAGTGTGACTCTAACCATGCCTCTATAGAACGTGCCAAAAAAATATATAGCGGTACAATTTCAATCTCAAATGACTGGTACATGCTCGTAAGAATGGTCACCAATAAACTTACAGTAATTGAAATGACACAAAATGATATTTTTGCGTTTTCAAGCCTGCTGCAGCAAACTCTAATAAAGAAAACAAAAGATCAACATATTGATTCATTTTTATGGCGTTACATTTTTTGGTTCCGTGTTAAGAAAGAAAATCCGTGTATTTTTTCTTTTAAGTACTCACTTTGAGTAGAAGACAACTTTAGAGTTTGTGATATGAAGAGGCAAACTAGAGGCAGCAAACTAAAGGCAGCCGATCAACTCTGCCAATGTGGGATGTCCAGAGGACATACAATAACAATTTAAAAATAACTAAAGAAAAACATAAAGATGGTTTATCATTATTACAATATATAGATCCAGTGTATCATGTTTTTTATAATAATGCAATAAAATCCACGGACGATGCAGTAGACACATCACACATTAGTGATTCCAGTTCCGATTCAGATTAATACTATTATTTATATATTTCTTTATCAGATCCATGTGTTTTAATATTAACTTTTCTTTTATATTTGTATTCTTATGATGTTTTAAAGAGTAATAAAGGAATTTTTTAATAAAGTGGTTTATATAATTCGCAGCATTGAAGATCATACCATGATAACTGCTTAATATTTTTGATCATAACATGATAACTAAAACCATTTTTTATAACAAAATAAATAATGTTCGTAATACTTGCTTCCCATAGACCTGTTTCTGATAAATAATAATATGTACTATATTATACCTTTCGTTGTACACTCTTGTTAATAAATAATATCTTTCATTTAACAGCGGAAATCTATCCTCAAAATACTTAAATATTTGTTTCGGCTCTCCTGAAAAATCAATATTTTGCATTTATCATAATCTGACCTATGACCACAGATATGTATATATATATATACATATATATATATATATATATATATATATATATATATATATATATATATATATATATATATATATATATATATATATATACATATCTGTACCGTAGGTAAAAAGTCATAAATCCAATTTTTGCCGAAATGGAGTTTAGACCACTCAGGTTTTCATAGCATCTGGTAGAAAAGGATCGTACATCTAGAATTATTAGTTGCCTAGATACGGCGTTTAGAAACAACGGCAACTCTATTAGACAGTTGAGGTAAACAGTAATATATCCATAGATACGTGCTAATACGTAGTATGCTTTGGAATCGGGCAGTGGTAGACAACCGTAACTACAGATCTACATTAAATGATAGGATATCATAGGATAATGATAATGATAATATCATAGGATAATTAGTAGTGTGTGTGGCATCATTTACGTTTCCCTGTGAATTATTACAAACTACATTTGGTTATTATTTGAGTTTAACGATCATTTTTAATTCAGTTTAAACATAAGAATTTTCTATTGCCAGTGGTGTTTTTATTTCGTCATAAAGTGCATCAGATATCCCGTATTTTGGATTATCTACAGATTGCAAGGTCAGTCTTTTTATTTTGTTTATATCTATTTACGGCGATTCACTCCCACTGCTGCTCTGCTGTTCCCACCATGTCGACCTGCGCTAACTGTTCAAAGTCAATCGATGATCGAGAATCATCAAAACAACTTCAATGTGAAGCATGTAAACAGAACATACATTTAGCTTGCACTGATCTACGAGCCGAAGATCGCATTACTAGGCATAAGCTACGCGGAATTAAAATTCTTTGCAACAACTGCTGCTCTAATATCGAAAACTTTGCTAATTTAAAGACGCTCTTAAAAGATCTAAAAGAGAATCTTCAATCAAAAATTGATCTAATAGACCAAAAAGCTAATGATATCAGTGAAAGACTTTTACAGATCGAAAACAAGTTATCTGTTGAGGATCATTCTTCATCTCCAAAATTTACAGATACCATAGCAAATGAAGCAGTTGATCGCATTAACCGGGCTAAGAATATTTTTGTTAGGGGTGTACCCGAAATTACAGGAGACATTGAAACAAAGAAAAGTCACGATGATGGAATATTAAAAAATATTTTAGATACTGTAATGTCTAACTCCACTCCTGTCACATTTTTCAGGACTGGAAAACCAAACAATCGCTTCCCTAGGATGATAAAGGTCATTATGCAAAATGAACATGAAGCCAAACATATTTTGAAGAACAAAAAGAAACTTTTACAAAACGTCTCTTTAAAAAACGTTTCCATTATCGACGATAAGACTCCAAATCAAATAGAATGCCTAAAAGAACTTCGAGTGGAACTGGAACAGAGAAAATCGAATGGAGAGGAAAATTTAACCATAAAATATATACAAGGTGTCCCGAAAATTGTAAACTTTCGTCACTAATTCTGATATTTCAGGTTTTCATAATTGGCTCTGTTTCTATACTAATCTAGCTACTTTAAATTCCAAATTTAATGAATTTTTATGCAACATTCAAAACCTAAATCCTCAAATAATTCTTATCTATGAAACATGGTTAACACCAAATGATCCTGACTCCCTTTATAACATTGATAATTATTCCCTTTATAGGTGTGATCGTCGTAATCGGCGTGGAGGAGGAACTTGTATCTACTTGTCTTCAGAAATTACTAATAATTTCTCTGTTACATCTCTTGATATTACTGTCCCTAATATGGAACTTCTTGGCTTAAAAATATGTCATAAAAACTCTTTTGTTTTTCACCTAGTATGCGTTTATCGGCCTGGTGATTCTAGATTAGCAGATGATGAGTCCCTTATCGCATCACTTGGTGAACTGTCTAGGCTAGAGAATTTAATTGTTATTGGAGACTTTAATTTTAGAGACATTTCGTGGCCTATAACTGATCCACCTAGTGGCTTAACAACTTCCAAAAACGCATTTACAGATTTTGTACTAAATTCTAATTTACATCAATTCATAACGACTCGTTTCAGAATCAATAATTTACCATCTATTTTGGACTTGGTATTCTCTAATGATCCCCATTTATTAACACATCCCTTAATAAGTTCTCCAGTAGGTAACTCAGATCATGCAGTCATAACGTTTCATATTCAGTTTAACTTACAGTACTGTACTCCTAATCCTAATGTTAATAAAACGGTATATGAAATAATTGATTTTGAAAATGCAAATCGCCAACTGACTGACATTGATTGGAATGATGTTTTCGGCGACATAAGGAATCCAGTTGTATTCTGGGATAAGTTCCTACAGGTTGTTAATTTATGCAAAAACCAAAATACCCTCAAAAAAACCATATACAAAAATAACATAAAACCTTGGATTAATGGGGAATTAATATATCTGATCAAGTATAAAAGTAAGTTGTGGAACAAATATAGACGTACAAATCGCATAGAGGATTTACAAATTCATCGAGACTTTGCCAGAGATTTAAACAAATCTTTACATGAAGCTCGTGTTGCCTACGAAGAGAGTATAGCCATCAGTAATAACTGTAAAAAATTGCACAAGTATATTAGATCTTCGTTGACAACAAAAGTTTCTATACCTTTACTGGAAAATGATAATGGGGATATATCCCAAAATACCTATGAGAATGCCGAACTTCTCGCCAGTACTTTCTCCAAGGTTTTCTCTGTTGAACCCACTAATTATCAGTTCCCTAATATTACTTCGTCACGAGTTTCTTTTTCTCTTGAAAATATAATCATTACTCCTGAAAAAGTTAAACATCATCTTCAAAGCCTAAAAAATAATTCGTCTCCTGGTCTCGACTTAATATCTTCTTTATTTTTAAAAAAATGTTGTGATGCTTTAGCTTATCCACTATATGTGATTATGTCCCTATCATTCACCACACATATTTTGCCTTCTATATGGAAAACCGCATCTGTAACACCGATCTTTAAAAAAGGGAACAAACTGGATCCTAATAACTATCGTCCTATCAGCTTAACACCTATAATATCTAAGATAATGGAAACTATTATTGCCGAGACAATTTCTGATTTTCTGCAAAATGAACTGGTTATACCAGAACAGCAGCATGGTTTTGTCAAAGGACGTTCTACAATGACAAATCTTCTCTGGTGTGTCAATGAATGGTCAAGAGCATTAGACAGAAAAGCCCCGGTGGACATTATATACCTCGATTTTGCTAAAGCTTTCGATAGAGTTCCAAAACGAAGACTATTTATATAAAATTTTGTGTTAGAGTTGGGGACTCTTTCTCAGTTGAGAGAACGGTTTTAAGTGGGGTACCGCAAGGATCAGTTTTGGGCCCACTCTTATTCATAGCATACTCAAGTGATCTACAATTTCATATTAAATGCAACAATGCTTTCTATGCAGATGACACGAAGCTATTTTCCGATCCCTCCGTAAATTTCCAGTTACTACAAGATGACCTTGATTGCATATCGGAATGGTGCTCTACCTGGATGCTGCCTCTTAATGTGGAAAAATGTGTAGTTCTTCACATGGGTAAAAATAATCCGTGTCTTCCTTACTCTATTAATGGGCGCGTGTTAAAAACAGTGAAATCGCATAATGATCTAGGCGTTATAATTAATAACAATCTAAGTTGGTCAGAACACATTTTGCATATTTCTAAAAAAGCTAACAGTAAATTATATCTACTAAATAAAACGTTTGCGAAAATGTCATTTATGAGCTCAATTCATCTGTATAAAC